TGTCGCTGCATAGAAACTGATTAGCTCTTAACACTGGGTGCCTAGCTGCACTTCTATTTTACTTTTCCATCTGTGTCTCTTTTTTTTTTTTTTTTTTTTTTTTTTTTTTGGTTTTTGGTTTTTGGCGCCAGTCTTTTGTGCAGACTTCTTTGATTGTTGTGGGCAGGAAGTGGACTTCGTACAAGCAGACACACCCAATCGAATTTTACAGAAAATTTCCCCTCGTCTTATTGAGCTGGGTCCTGGAACGAAACCCTAGGCAGTTTAGTTTTAAGGCCCTCGTCATCGGCCTTTCTCTCGCAGCCTGCCGCGCATAAGAAGCACGAGCGATGAGCTAGAGTCAAACCCCATCAGTCCACAATGGAAGCGTGACTTGTCGAGAACCGAGAACACCCATTAAGCATCAGACACGTGCGTTCCCCTCACGCTGGCTCACACCAAATTCGAGGTGGCCCGGCAGTCAGTGGGGTGGTAATATACGCTAGACCAGGGGAGCAAGGTCAAAGATTCAAGGAGGATGGTGGCCGTTCCTTTAGCTTGCCGTCGGCCCTTGATTTAGTCTGGTTTTCTCCGGCTTCGGCTCGCACCGTTGATGGGCGGCTTGCATGGGACCCCATCCACTGGGGAGGTTTCGATGGATCTCTTTCGTCAACCTGAACAAGATCCCGCCCACGTCCCAAGCCTTCGGGATTTGTTTGAGAAATTGTCTGTCATGGTTCAGCCCGCCACCACGACACCACGGAGACATGGAATGGGGAGCCGCTCTTGGAGCGGCCTGTACGCTGGGAAAAGAAGACAAATAAGAGGGGCCACCAGGATTTTTCCGTTCTCTCGGGTGAGGAAAGCCATATTGTCGGGAAGCAGCCCTTAGCCATCTGCTTCAGGAGACGTTAGGCCCCTGAACCCCGTTGACGGGAGGCTGGGCCCGTCCAAGACAGGGCTCAGATTTCTGTTAAACAGGGGACCGTCCATGAGGTGCTAAGGGTTTTCGAGGAAGGATGCTACGTACTCAGTCCAATAGTCCACACTTTGGAAGGATTAAAACTGTCTTGTCTTCGCACGAGGAATTTGACAGACATTATGCGCGCCGCGGGTCAGTTTGGGACGAACAGGGGTCCCATTACGGTCAAGGTGACCAGAAAGGCGGACAGCCATGAACTCGACCAGTCAGATATGATATGGAATGTGTTCATGGGTTTAAATCGCGTCGGCTTTTCCTCATGTCGTTGGTAGGTCTTGTGCAGGTTGGGCAAGCAAAGCTCGCATTGCGAATTAGTCACATGCTGCTGCTGCTGTTCACCGTAGCCTCTTCTCGAACCTTTCGGTGGTGGGCAACCCTGTCCAAATATGCAGACCGCATTCACAAACCGAATGCCTGCAATTATGGCACAACTAACCTGCTTGCCAATTGAGTCTGAGCCCTGAAAACTATCATGTCTCCACCTTTCGCTTTGGTTACGTCTTTGCACCTATTGATCGCTTGAATCTATCCTGCTCAATGTCATACATGCCTGGTACTGCATAATTGCTTTATACTCGATGAGTTTTGAGGCCCCCATGCTGTTACCTCGAGAGCGACTCTGACGATGGTAACAACCACAAAAACTTGCTAAGACAGCTATACTATTCATGATTGGCAACTCTGTCACCATCGGCTCTAGATTTTGCAACGTCGATATTCATCCCCGTGTCTCATTTCGTCACCGCCCGACTCCACGATGCCGCCCGCAAGCTCCATTTCAATTTCCGCCATGATTACAATACCTTCCCATCAACTCCTTTCGGTCGATCACCCATCACGGGAACTTTTATAACCATACGCTCTGCTCTACTCTACGTCCGAAGCGCCGACCAAAGTTGCGATCCATGCTACAGGCATAGCCCATACTGCCAACTGGAAATGAACAATTGGGGGCGGAAAAACAACCCAGATGATCTGAGACATTGAGGGACCTGGAGGATGGAGCCCCGATGCCTCTGGTGTTGTGCTCTAGCACCTGCTTCCGCATACCCTCATGCCTATTCGTTGACCAAGGGCTTGGGGTTATCAAATATATATGCCCTGAAACCCCCGATAAGCAAGGGTATATGCCTTTTTCGAATGGTTTCCGCTGCATACCTAGGTATGTAGTCGACACTGATAGGCTAGATCCCTCACACAGCACCGGTATTTATCAGCGCCTGAGAGAAATAACACAACAGGTTCTCGTTGACGCTACACTGCTCCAGTGGTGGTGGTTGATTTATTGCTATTCCCCTATTCGATGCGCATAGACGCCTCTTTCAGTCGATTGCGTCTTTTGCGGTTACGCTTACCTGTCGTATTTCCTCAATTGATATCTCTCGTCTCCTCACTTTATCCATTATCCTCTCTCTGGCCCGTCAACATCGATCTTGGTGTCGAAGCCAGTCTCCCCAGTTGTTTCTAGCTTCCAACTGTCGTCATCACACGAGCTATACATAGTAGAAGCGGCGTCTCCGATCAACATGTAACAAGGAACTGAACTCTCATTGCTTGTTCATGGCCCACACCCCAAGCTCCGTCTGCCCATGCATGATGATGGCACTGCCACCCTCCCACTTCTGCACTTTTTACTATGTACTGCATGCCGCGCCATGAAGGTCAGGGTAGTAGAGCTAGATGCTGCTATGCCTTCGTGTTAACAGCCTTTACGCCACTTTGAGTGCTGACCTGGAATATAGAAAGAGTATGGACTTTTTCAAGATAACACACGTTAAGTTGACCTATTGTCCACACGGTTCGCACCTGAGGGTATAAAGAAAGATATAAACATGGACCTGGCAGCGTCTGGGTCCGTCCCACAGACACCCTCTGCATGCCCCAGCTGTGGCCCTGAGGACTTCTTCGTTTTGGGTCCTCTCATTCTGTCTCTGCCTTGCCCCTCACACAGGTCCTATGATGATCCACCAACATATTGAAATTGTTGGAAGAGAGAAAAAAAGAGCAATTTGTCTGTTATGACAGACGAACGAAGTGTAGAAAGGTAAGGATAAAGGAGAAAATATTCCACCGCAAAGCCATGTTCACAAGAGAGTTTGTTTTCACCTCCCTGTCTCCTCATCTTCTCTGCCCCTCTTCCTCACCCCTTCTGGGCCGAGCTCCTTCATTCGGCATCGACCGCAACATTTTTCGTTTCTCATCCGCCCAAACATAAAACAAGGTTGTCATAATCGTCATTATAGATGTCCTGGTATCCCTGGTCGGTTTCCGCAATTTTGTATGAAGCTAATACTTCAACCATACTGTCCCTTCACCATTGTATATCAGCTCGTCCATTGTCGTCGTTGGATATATCGCTCTTGGCATCTCGTCACTTCACTGCAATAATAGGTTAGCCACTCATATTCTCTCTCTCCTCACCACACACAATGTTCGTGCCCATGTCCATGCCCGTGCCCCGACACCCACAGACCACGGCATCTGCAAGAAGCACAGCACCACCATCACAACCACGCACACGCCCCTCACACCCCCTTTTGGGCTTCCCGTCCCTCTTTTTCCTTTTCTTTGGGACTTTTTCTTTTATGTGCCCTCGGCTCAGTCATGCCTCCAGCCCTTTTTCGTCCGTCTTTCTTGTTCGGGCTCGGGCTCCTTACTCAATGCGAATAGACATAAAGGAAAGGAAAAGGAACATCATGTTTCAGACTCACCTGGCCAAGGGATTGTAGCCTGTGATCATGCTCTTCTCTCATACGATAGATCTGACCAAGGACTTCTTGCATCTCAGCACACGTTCGCTCAATGGTGGCATTTCGGTTGCCCTCCCTCTGCCAGCGCTGAACGTCACGATACATCTTGTCATACCTGCGCTGCTTCTTCTCCGTGTCGTGGCAGAGCTTGCAAACGTCTCTTTCGGTCCTGGTTTCGTAGACAAGCTTCAGGCCGCAAGTTTCGCCCATGCGGTATTCTTTGTTGCACTGCTGACGGAAGTGCCCCCAGCGCCAGTAGCCGCATGCCCAGCGAGTTTGGTCAAAGTAACACATGGCTCAATGGTTTCGGGGGTTAACGAGAGGCTTAGTGGCGAATAATCGAGGCGACAAAAGCAGGGTATCTCTGACTGATTCGACAGAAGAGGATAAGAAGCGGGAACACCGAAGGCGGAGAGCGGAGTTCCAGAGGCGAACTCGTGGTCGATTCGAGCCGAACCCGAAGTTCAAGTCAACACTTGTCGAGTCGTGTCGAAGCGATGAAAGTCAGCCACCCTCGGGCAATCCAACGGTCGCTGATCCGGAACGTTATAAACAGTGTAAAGGTTCGGTTAATCGAGTCGAGAAGAATCCTAGGACACACAGGTTAGTAACTGGGTCTC